CACAAGGGAGAAATCACTCCCGGTCACTTCCAGGCAACTCTGAATCTCTCCCCGTGTGAAACCACAAGGAATAATCACTCCCATACCACTTCTCAACACAGCGCCCACACATGTCAATTTTAGCCAAGATGAATTAACTTTCGTAACGGGGATGAGGACCCGCGACTTTTTCACACGTCGATGTCAGCCAATGTCAGGTGAACCCAAATTCGACATCCGAACGGGGCCCAGCATCACGCTCGATAGACACGTCGCCATCATCATTGCCGCCGCTGCTTCGCTGCGACGACTTACTGCGCATCAGAGTTGTCCCGATTTCGAGCCCCGCCTTGGGCGGGGCCGACCGTCTGTTGTTTGCGTTCGCGACTGAGGCGGATACGGATTTCGCGCTCGCGTCGGGGCAGCGTCCTTTGCGGCGTCGCCATTGGGCTTCAGCGGTACTGTGTGCAGTCGGCGTGCCAACTCCTGCATGATTGCGTCTTTGCTCGCTGCGTGCTTGCGGTCTCGCACGACACCAGGTTGACGTCAGAATGGTGCTCTCGCCCTCGCGTTGACCACCGTTGTTTTGCTTGTTTTGTGATGTGTTTTCCGGCTACGTGTCTCACCCTTGTAGAAGTGCAATGTAAGATACCGCTTACCCGTTACGAAAGTTATTCATCTTGAGCACTGACGACTAGGGCGTCTCCGAGTGGCCCCCCTTTCCCCCCGTAGACTCCTAGCACGGCAGTCTTCGGCCTGGCTTGGCGGGAGAGATTTCCGGGGTTCTCCCTGGTAACATTAATAGTATATAACCAATTCAGGATAAAATCTCCCCCCCGTAAATTCACAAGGGAGGAATCACTCCCGGTCACTTCCAGGCAACTCTGAATCTCTCCCCGTGTGAAACCACAGGGAATAATCACTCCCATACCACTTCTCACCACAGCGCCCACACATGTCAATTTTAGCCAAGATGAGTTAACTTTCGTAACGGGGATGAGGACCCGCGACTTTTTCACACGTCGATGTCAGCCAATGTCAGGAGGAACCCAAATTCGACATCCGAACGGGGCCCAGCATCACGCTCGATAGACACGTCGCCATCATCGTTGCCGCCGCTGCTTCGCTGCGACGACTTACTGCGCATCAGAGTTGTCCCGATTTCGAGCCCCGCCTTGGGCGGGGCCGACCGTCTGTTGTTTGCGTTCGCGCCTGAGGCGGATACGGATTTCGCGCTCGCGTCGGGGCAGCGTCCTTTGCGGCGTCGCCATTGGGCTTCAGCGGTACTGTGTGCAGTCGGCGTGCCAACTCCTGCATGATTGCGTCTTTGCTCGCTGCGTGCTTGCGGTCTCGCACGACACCAGGTTGACGTCAGAATGGTGCTCTCGCCGTCGCGTTGACCACCGTTGTTTTGCTTGTTTTGTGATGTGTTTTCCGGCTACGTGTCTCACCCTTGTAGAAGTGCAATGTAAGATACCGCTTACCCGTTACGAAAGTTATTCATCTTGAGCACTGACGACTAGGGCGTCTCCGAGTGGCCCCCCTTTCCCCCCGTAGACTCCTAGCACGGCAGTCTTCGGCCTGGCTTGGCGGGAGAGATTTCCGGGGTTCTCCCTGGTAACATTAATAGTATATAACCAATTCAGGATAAAATCTCTCCCCCGTAAATTCACAAGGGAGAAATCACTCCCGGTCACTTCCAGGCAACTCTGAATCTCTCCCCGTGTGAAACCACAGGGAATAATCACTCCCATACCACTTCTCACCACAGCGCCCACACATGCCAATTTTAGCCAAGATGAGTTAACTTTCGTAGCGGGGATGTATTCACATTGTCGACATTGGTCAGTCACAGCATCAGCCACACATCCACCCCATGGCTATCTTCATCATCATACGGTGAGGGCGTTCGATAAGGAACTTGCACGGGAGGCTTCAGACCCTGGAGGGTTCCTTACTTGATGAGGGTGGCGATGATGTCCATGGCCAAGCCCCAATTGGTGTTCCACCAGCTTCCAGGCTCTGGATTCCTTATCTGAGTTCTCACCGGGGGGACTGCATACTACCCATTGTGGGATCACGCTCTGCGGCGTGACAGCGAGGCACTAGTGACCTGTCAGCTCTCGAGTGGATTATACGTACTTATCACGAGCAGGTGCATATTTCACGAAGTGGTCCTCTATGTTGCCTAATAAACAAATCCTTATCAAATGCCCTCACCGTACTCCGCATCTTCACGCTCAACTTCACCATCGCAAGCGTCTTCACATTCGCATGATCATGCTCATCATCACCTCATCATCACAAACTCTTGCTTCTCATTCGTTCAACTCGTGACATCCGTGACGGTGAGGTTCGCCCCCCATCACAGTAACAAACGTACCTGGAGGGGGGGTGGGCTGGCCCCCTTCCACATCTATGGCGTTGTGCTCACATGCATGGTGCGGCGCCGACAAGCATCGGATAGCTTCCAGACGCTTCTAGAGGCGACCGTCGTCGTCGTCGTCGTCCTCGTCGTCGTCATCGTCTTCACCCTCGTCGCCCTGCTGTCGTCGCTGTCGTCGGCGTGGGCGTCGTCGTTGTCTTCGTCCTCGTCGTCGTTCCCAACGTCGTCGTGTTGGTTGTCATCATCGTCGTCGTGGACCTCGAAGTGCCTGCAGACGCGTTCTGAGGCTTCCGGAGATCTCATGCGGCTTCCAAAGACCTTTGGAGACCTTCAGAGGCGGGCATCGTCCTCGTCCTCATCCTCGTCCTCGTCCTCATCCTCGGCGTCGTCCTCATCCTCGTCGTCGTCGTCTCCGACGGCCTCGGAGGGCCTCCAGACGCCTCCCGAGGCCTTCGAAGAACTCCCGAAGCATCTGGAGACCTCTGGAGATCTTCGGAGACGGTCGTCCGCGTCCTCGTCCTCCTCCTCCTCGTCGTCGTCGCCGTCGTCGTCGTCTTCGTCCTCGTCCTGTTACTCGTCGTCTTCGTCGTCCTTGCTCTCGTCGTCGGCGTCGGCGTCGGCGTTTTCGTCGTTGTTTCCGAGGGCTTCGAGGGGCCTCTAGACGCCTCCAGAGGCCTCCAGGGACATCCTGAGGCCTCCGTTGACTTCTGGAGGCCTTCAGTGGCGGCCGTCACCGTCGTCGACGTCGTCTTCGACAACGTCGACGTTTTCGTCGTTGTCGTCGGGGTTGTCGTCATCGTCGTCGTCGTCTCCGAGGACCTCGAAGGGCCTCCAGACGCCTCCAGAGGCCTTCAGAGACCTCCTGAAGCTTTCAAGATCTCTGGAGATCTTCAGAGGCGGCCGTCGCCGTCGTCGTCGTCGTCGTTCTCGTCGCCGTCGTCGTTCTCGTTGTCGTTGTCGTTGTCGCCGTCATCTTTCTCGTCGGCGTCGTCGTCGTCCTCGTCCTGGTCCTCTTCCTCGTCCTGTTCCTCGTCGTCTGTGTCGTCCTTGCCCTCGTCGTCGTTATCGTCAGCGTCGTTGTCGTCGTTCTCGTCGTCGTCCCCGTCCTCGTCCTCGTCCTCCTCGATGTCGTTTTTGTCGTTCCCGAGGGCCTCAAGACGCCTCCAGAGGACTCGGAGACATCCTGAGGCCTTTCCGAGCTTTTCAGAGACCTTCCGTTGCGGCTGTTGTTGTCATCGGCGTCGTCGTCGTTCTCCTTGTCGTCGTTGTCGTCATCCTCGTCTTCGTCCTCGTCCAGTCTTCGTCCTTGTCCTCGTCCTCGTCCTCGTTGTTGTCGTCGTAGTCGTTGTCTTCCGGCGCCCAGCCCCCGCCCCCTGCGGCGCCCGCCCCGCCCCCACGTTACCTTTACCCTCCTCACGGAGGCCTAACCCCTTCTTCCAAGGACGCTACCTTGGGGGAATCTAGAAACATTCTCTAAGAAGTCTCGATCTTGTTTCGGTAGCCATTGTGGCTCAATCCATTCCTGGTCAAGTCCTGCTCGAACCCAGCGGGGATCCCATATACCGACCCCAGCACAGCGACCGTTCATGCGGAGCTGAATCGCCGTGGTCGCAATGCGCGGCCTGTGGCTCTGCGCCATGCTCTTCCCGCGGGCCGCCGCTCTCGTGGTGTACGGCGGCCCGCCCGCGGTGCTGCCAGACCGGATGCTTGCGCCTTGGGAGCTCGCCGAGAAGGACGGGGCCACATGGAGCCAGGACGGCTCGCGCAGCAGCCTTCTGTCAGGGCCTCCTTTAAGGCCCAGGAGGAAGGAGGCTCAGCCGCCTCCACCCCTTCCGCTGGACGAGAGCATCCTGAACCTGTCGCAGCGCGGGCTATGTTATGCAGACCCCGTGGCGGACGTGTACAGACAGAAGTGGGGACAAATAGCCTTGGACATGCACAGGGGCAAGCGATGGGCGAAGTCCCATAAGGTTATCTTTGCAGGATTGATTCGCAACTCGGAGTCTGCTGTGAGAAGTAGCTATGAGATGTTGACAAGGATAGGTCGTTTTTTCAAGAACTACATGTTTATTGTCGTAGAGAACGACTCTAAAGACAATACCTCGCAAGTCATGGCAGATATCACGGAAAGACAAGCGCTACCATATCATGACCAGCACCCTCAAGATGCGCGATACAAGAGGGTTGGAGCCCTCTCGAATGAGGCGAATGGCCACTCTGCGAAACAGAGTGCATAAACTGGTGCGCGAGGAACTTCTTGCCTCCAACAGCACCGATCTCGATGAACATCTGATCGTCCTCTATGATTTCGATCTGAACGCCTTCGGGCCGCATGCCTTCACTCGTCACGCTTTCTTCGGGGCGCTAGGTCGCCAGGAGACGCTTCGGAACGATTGGGACATGCTCTGCGCGAACAGCCTTCGGCACATCGACGAGCTACCCTCCAACCCGGTGGGCCTCTGGGATTGTTTCGCCTTCCGCGATCTGAAGAACGATTCTTACAACGTCCCAGATTGCATAGACACGATTGGGCACACCCTCTACGCGCAGTACGATCTGGTCCCCGTGCACTCGTGCTTCGGCGGGCTGGCGATTTACAGGCCGGAGAGATTTCTGCAATGCGAGTACGACCCCGACGTGAACGACTGCGAGCACGTCGTGTTCCACACGTGCATGCGCCAGAGGGGAGCGAGGGCCGGATGTTCATGGACCCGCTGCTGACGACCAGCTACGACGGCTGGATCCAGACAGGCTGCCACACGGACGCGTGAGGACGAGCGCACGCTCCCAGCGCGGGGCGCACAGCCGCCCTTCGTGGGGGGGGAGCTGCCCGAAGTCCCGGCTCGCGACCCTTGCTTGAAGGGCGTGCGAGCCTCGGGAGTTGTTGAACTTTCGCCGCTCGTTCGCGCCGCGTGGGTGGGATAAACAAAAAGAAGTCTCGATCCTGATTATCACTCTCACTGCACTCGTAGTCCTTCGCGTTGTGCGTGCCCGCGTAGTTCGGCGCACCCTTGCAGATATCCATGTCCGCCCTCTTGGCCGTGCATGGTGCGTTGCTATTCGAAATCACTGTGGCTGACTTTACGCAGTCTCTTCGGGTCATTGTGGGTGTTTCCTCTGAGGCTTCAGCGGCGACCTTGGGGGTTGTGCCAGGTGTCTTGCAAGCTTGTTGGATGTATTGGCGCCATCTTTCGGAGCGAGGGGATGTCGGAGTCCCAGCTGTTGTCTCTTATGCGGAATCTTCAGTCACGGGTCGATCCGCTTTCTCGGTAGTGCCCCCGGTTTTTTCGAAAGGCCGACCGCCCAATGACAATATTGGAATGTTGCGTTGCGTTCGGGGGAACTAGACAGCGTGGCGTTGCGTGGCCGTGACGTTGTTGGCGACTCAGTTGCCTCGCGGCTTAGAGGCATTCGGGTGTTCACGCCATGACCTTCTCCCTCCATCCCTTGGTATATCCTTCCACCCATCCAGAATCATACATGTAGGAGCGCTGCCAGGGTTACATACGAAGCAGCACCTGCGCACCTGAACGTGTTGCTCAAGGTTCTCGCGTGGACTTGCGTGTGCCGGATACACAGTTTAATTGCTACCACCCATCCCAGCACCCCGCCATAACCCAAACAACCTAACTATACGACCACCCTGCCGGCGAGAAGAAGGTTGGGTGGTGGGGGCGAGAAGAAGGTTGGGTGTCATGGTCATGACGATGCTGGTGACGCGCCTTCCAGTGAGCGACGACGCGTGATGGCGACGTTGCGCTGCGATGTAATGCCACCATCGCCCCTGCTTTATATCTCACAGCCAGTATCACAATCGACTTATAGTATCACTATCCATCCCGTTCTAGCGATCCCAGTATCGATCACACGATCGATCTCACTATCGATACCAAGGCGGGACACCCCCGGCCAGCGCCCGCTCACCGCCGACGGAACACCGACGGGACACCAACGGGATACCAACGGGGCACTTCAGGACACCACGGCGGGACAACCCGGGCCCTCGCGCGCTCACCAGGGGCGGAGGGGCGGTCCACTGCATCCGAATCGCCCGCGCGACGGCAGGGTCATTCCTCGTGCGCGCCCACGCAGCTTCGCCTCGCCGGCGCGCACGACACGAACACGAAACCGACACCGATTGCCTGGCGGGGGACTCTCCGTTCCACTGCGATCTCACCACCCCAGCCTCCGACACTGCTTGTCCGAACCCAAGGTGGAATGGAAGGAAAATGCGAGTGGCACCAACACGACCACCCTCCAGGTGATAAGGAGGTTGGGGGGGCGGAAGGAGATAACGGCTGGCAAATGCGATGGGTGTGATGATGGCGATGTTGGTGACGCGCCATCCAGGTAGCGACAACGCGTGATGACGATGTTGCGCTGCGATGCAATCTCACTCTTTTCCCCGCTTTCTATCTGACCCGATCGATCCCACGATCGACCTCACAGGATAGATCACACTCGAGCGAGTTCACCATAGTTCCCACTATTGATCTCTATAGACCTCACTATCGATCTCGCTTTCGATCTCGCTATCGATCTCGCTTCCGATTTCTCTACCGATCCCACTATCGATCTCACGATCGATCTCACAACCAATGCCACAATCAAACTCACTGTCGATAGCATTTTTGATTCAAGCATCCACCCCTTTTAGGGTATCAGTATCGATCTCACGATCGATTTGAATATGGATCCCAGAGCGGGATACCCCCAGCCACCGCCCGCCCACCGCCGACGGAGCACCGACGGGACACCAACGGGATACCAACGGACACTTCAGGACACCACGGCGGGTCACCCCGGGCCACCGCGTGCTCACCAGGGGCGGAGGGGCGGTCCATTGTATCCGAATCGCCCGTGCCACGGCGGGGTCATTCTTCTCTTGCGCCCACGCAGCTGCGCCTCGCCCGCACGCACGACTCAAGCATCAAACCGAAACCGATTCCCCAGTGGGGACTCTCCGTTCCACTGCGATCTCACCCCCCAACCTCCGATGACGAGGAGAGCGGGTACTAGCCAAGACGTGTAGGAGGAGAGGGGCGGATTTTGAAGAGGAAATTGGTGCGGAATTGCGTGGGGGAGGTTGCGGCTTGATGGCAGGAGGAGTAAAGGGATCCATCGTAAGAGGCAGACGGTGGGAAAGAGATTGCAAGTGGAGCGAGGTGCAGGACTCGTAGGGGGGCGTGACGAATGATATGAAGGGATAGGGAGCATTCTGTGGAAGCGGGAGGGCGGCCTCGCCACCCCTGTGCCTTTTACAGGACCAGCGCCCTCTCCCCGAAAGCCCTTCTCTCCCACACGCTCAGCCAAGAGAGACCTCCGTCCCTCTGCAGTGCAGCTGCCTTCCTGACGGAGTTCCACAACGCGGAGACCAAGAAGGCCTGGACGCGGGGGCCGGGACGCGGCAGGTGTGCTCGCCGGCCCGCCTGGCCCCTCCTCTGCCTGCCCGCCCCGCCCCGCCGGCCCTGGCCTGTCGCCCGGGCGCTCGTCGTCGTGTGCCTGCTTCTCCCCTCCTCGCCCCCTCCCGCCGGGCAGCACGGCCTGCCCGGGACCAGCGTGGCGGCACGTGGGGCCTAACGCTCCGGTGCATGTTCGGCCCGAGCGGCGGCGAGCGGCGTGCGCCGCTCCACACCGCCAGCGATGCCCACCGGTGTGCTGCTTCCTCGTCTACGGTTGCCCCGTTTTGTGGCCCCGCCGCCTTCTGAGAAGGCTTGCCCCCTCTTCCGCCCTCGCCGCGCTGCCGAGAGTTAGAGTGTGTGGAGGGATGGATCTGTTGTGGTGCTGTCCGCTGCTCGATTCTGCTCCACTTCGTGGACCTTGCCTTTCCGGTGCAAGACTTTGCAGCCTCCTTGGCAGTCAGGTGTGTCATGCGCGAGAGTCAGTTTGAGCATGAGTTGTTGCCTGTCCCGAGTAACAGCGTCTATTCAACTGCCTACGCCAAGTCCCGCCACCGTGGGTTGTGGGTGTTAAGCTCACTGGATGTTCGCTGGGATTTCGCTCGGGGGCCTCTTGGAGGCAGTTTTGAGGCCTCTTGGGGGCCGTTGTGGGGTCTATTGGGGCCTCCTGGGGGCCTCTTGGGGCCTCTTGGGGGCCTCATGAGGACTCTGGGGCGCCTCTTGAGGCCTCCTTGTGGCCTCTTGGAGCGGAAGGGTCGGATTTTCGGTTCGTGATCCCTTTTTGGTGACCTTTTTTGGCTCTCTTGGCGCCGTCTTGAACGCCTCTTGGGCCGTCTTAGGGTCTCGGGGCCCTCTTGGAGGCTTCTTGGGCCGCTCTTGGGTGGTTTTCGGGGCCTCTTGGGCCGTCTCAGAGCGTTGAAGATCCGAAAAGGCGAGAGCGCCAACTTCCATCAAACACCAAAAAACAATCCATGAATTTTGCCTCCTTTCTCTTCTAGTGCTTAACTAAGTTGCAGAACCGGTAGTCTCGCAGTCGCGCAGTCACTACAACGCGTGAAGGGCTTGGGTGTGAAGGTGACGCTAGAGTCACGACCCGACTCTCGCCAGGGCGCGCCGCCCTTTAGGTCTCTCGGCCAGGTAGTAGCACATGAGTGATTCCAGGGGCCCTCGAGGGTCTGGGTACCCTCATCAGGGGAATAACGCGATCTGTGTGTGATGGGGGAAGGTCTCCTCTTTTCCGCCCCTCTTTTTATCCTTGTCTTGCTCCTTCCTCCTGTGCTCATTTACTTTAAAAGATAGTACCCCTGCCCGTCCGCTCTCAGAGTGGGCCTGCGCCGCTCGGCGCACGAGGCTGTGGCGTCCCTTGCTGGCTGCTGCTGCCTCTGCCTCTGCTTGTTCTTCACCCATTGGGCTTCTCGTCTCTCTCTCTCTCTCTCGCCATCGTGCGCTTCGACCTCTCTTGCGCCTCGACCGACCGATGGAGGAGGAGGAGGAGGAAGAGGAGGAGGAGGAGGAGGAGGAGGAGAAGGAGGAGGAGGAGGAGGGGGAGGGGAGGGGGGGGAGGGCAATTTAGGTGCGCTCGCGTCAACATCTGACATCCTACCCCCCTCCCATCCCTTACCATGGCGCTGATTTTTTCTCTATCCATCCGCGGACGCGGTCGTAGCGGGAAAAAAAAAAAAACTACAGTGCTCTCCGCGCGCGTGTGCGTAGTGGGTGGAGGAGCGCCGGTGCGTGCGTGGCGTGTGTGCGTTTGTTGTGGGTTGTTGTGGTGGTTGTGTATGAGTGTGTGTTGTGTGTGCGCGTGTGCGCGTGGTGCTGTGGTGTTTGGGGGTGTGTGGGCCTCTGGTGGTTTGGAGGTGGGCCCGGTGCTAACGTTCGTGATGGCGGAGGTGGTGGTGGTGTGCGGTGGTGGTAGAGTGTGTGTGTGTGAGTCTGTGTCTGTGTCTGTGCGTGTGTGTGCGTGTGTATGTGTGAGTGTGTGTGTGTGCGTGCGTAGCGTGTGTGTCTGTGTGTGCGCGCGTGTGATGTGGTGTGACGCGGTGTAGCGTGGTGGTGGTGGGTGGGGTAGTGCGGTGGTGGTGCGGTGCGCGGTGGTGGTGCGCGTGCGTGCGTGCGTGCGTTGGTGGGTGGAAGTGGCGGTGGGTGTGCGTGCGGCGGGGCGGGGCGTGGTGCGGCGCGGTGGTGGCGGGCGGGTGGGCGCGCGAGAAAGAAGCCCGCGCTGGGGCGAGAACGCCATCCTGAACGACGGAGGCCAAACACCGATCCGAAAATGAGGCCCACGCTGCAGCGGGAGCACGATTCGGAACGATTCGGGAGCAG